GCTTAGCTCTGTTCTCAACCTTTTGGTATGTCTGTGTTCATTTGAAGAGTCAGGGGCGAGAGGGACAGGTGATGTAGCACTTCTGTTTTTAATAATTACAGCTTAAACTATCCAGTAATTTTTAGTCCTTAAAGGGACTTCAGGAAGCTACCCAGGATTACTGAGAAGTCTTTCCATCTAATGAGATAGTCTGGTAATTTACTAGTTTTGTATCTTTGGTTCAATAGAAATACTTCAAAGTGGTATGTGACTGCTTGATGCAGAGTCTGGGTTTCTCTATAATAAATCCCTTTGCCAAATGCAGGAGTTGCAGACTTGCTACTGGCAAGAGTGAAGCAAACGAGCGAGTAGAACTATTCCTGTGTGGGGGCATCTCCTATGGGAGTTTAGTCTGATGAAAGTGTCAGTGCAGGAATCAGCTCCTGGGAGTTGACAGTATCTCCTGACAGGACCTGCCCACCACACCTGGGCCCTAACGGCGTTGTTGGAGGCGGCAGGCAGGATGCCTGGCCTCCGGTGTATTGGGGCGAGTAGCTGAGCCAGCCAAGGAGAGGTTGGATGATTAAGCAAGAAACAAGGGATTCTTGGTTAAACTGAAGACTTCGTTTGGGAACCAAAAATCTTAACAAATAGTCTCTTGGACCTTGAGCCACATATTTCCCCTGAAAAGTATGCATTTTTTTTCCAGCAAAATTTTGTTGGGGGTTACGTTATTGAGGAATGAACTGAGATGAATATGCGCAACTTTTATTTAATGGCATACTACGCCAGAAATCTGAAGACCTGCGGGAGATATAAAGTTCCAACTCTTGTTATAACTTTTTAAAAGATTGTGAAATTATAAAAATGCACATGAATCAAGTTTTAATATACTGTATGATGGGTGGGTGAGGCTGTCCATTGTACCATTTCTTTCTTTGAATTCTCAGGCATGGTTTGGCAGTGCAAGAACTCTGTAACATTAACAAATTCAATAAAAAGTAAATATATGGATTCTGGAGTCTGATAGTCTTTATTCCTTTTCCCCCACCTCCCTCATAGTTTTTATTCTTAATCTTTAACCTAGTCTCTGTTTTTGAAAATGGTGAATTGATGTCATGCCTCCGTTGCTGTGGGAGGATGATAATCTCATCTCGGGTAAAACTCCCATTTGATAAATGCAGAGTACTCTGCATGTTAAAAAGACATCTGGAATGGAAGCGGTGGATACTCTTCACCAAAGTTAAAGCGTTGAAATGTACCTTTTTTGTTACTATATTACATTTTGTTGTCCCAAACCATGGCAACAGAATCTACAATCTTTACTGTGTGGAATAAAGATCTGGGGCCTTACCCCTTGAAGCTTACAGATTTCTCAAATGAGCCATTTTAAATTTCGGGATTTAGTCTGCATTATAGTCCCCAAATTTCTAAGCTAGAGAGTGTATTTCAAGTCCCTTTTGGTAATGGAGTTTAAATGTTTAGTGGTAACAATTGCTATTTGGTCATTCTGGCTCCTCGATGAGTGTTTTGACAGCCCTATTTAAAATAATGTACGAGATGCGTGGGTGGCTCAGTCTGATGAGCATCAGGCTTTTGATTTCAGCTCAGGTCATGATCCCAGGATTGAGGCCAGTGTGGAGCCTGCTTGGGCTTCCCTCTCCTTCTGCTTGCTCTTTGAAAACAAACTTTTTTTTTTAAATGTTTATTTTGGAGAGAGGAGGGGCAGAGAGAGGGAGACAGAATCAGAAGCAGGCTCCAGGCTTCGAGCTGTCAGCACAGCTAGATGCAGGGCTCGAACTCACGAATCGTGAGCTCGTGAAAGTGCTTTTAAAAAATAACGTACAAAACACCATCCCTGATTTCAGTTACTCCATAGTGTTTTGTGGGGTTTTTTTTCCTGAGTCGCCTTTTCAAAGTGTACGCTTAGTAGTTTTTAGTATATTCTCAAAAGTTGTGCAACCATCGCCACTATGAATTCTGGAACATACTTCATCTCCCCAAAAAATTCCATACCCATTAGGAATCCTTTACCATTTCCCCAAGATTCCTGCCTTAGGCAACAAGTATTCTGTCTCTAGATTTCTCTCTGGACATTTCCTCTAAACAGCGCTATCCGACATGTAGTCTTGACTGGCTTCTTTAACTTGGTGGGTTCTGAGGTTTGTCCCTGTTGCAGTGTGCATCTTGCTTCATTCCTGTTTATTGCCGAACAGTTGGGTACATCACGTTCGTTTATTTCGTCAGTTGAACATTTAGGTTATTTCCACTTCATTCTTGTTACGAATAATGCTGCTGTGAGCTTTCGTGTACAGGTTGGATCAACATATTTTCAATTCTTGGGTATTTATCTGGGGTGGAATTGCTGGGTCATAGAATTTTTTGAGTAACTACCAAATTTGCAAAGTGGCTGCACCACGTTACATTCCCACTAGCCATATCGGAGGATTCAAATTTCTCCACATCTTCATAACTACAGATAGTTAACCTGACTTTTTAATTCTAGTTATCCTAGTTGTTGTGAACTGATATCTTATAGTTTTGATTTATCTGCATTTCTGTTATGACCAATGATGCTAAACATCTGTGTGCTTATTGGCCATTTGTGTATCTCGAGAAATATCTATTCAAATCCTTTGCTAATTTTTTGAATTCATTTTTATTATTGAGTCATAAGAGTTCTTTATATGTTCTGGATACTTGCCCCTCATTATCATAATTTGCAAATATTTTTCTCCCATCTTAGTGTCTTCTGAAGCACAAGTTTTGTTTTTGTTTTTGTTAAGATTTACTTATTTAAGTAATATCTACACCCAATGTGGGGCTTGAACCTACGACCCCAAGATCAAGGTCGCATGCTTTTCCAACTGACCCAGCTAGAGGATTGGAAGCGGGCTCTGCACTGACAGCAGAAAGTACAATGGGGGGCTCAAATCTACAAACTGTGAGATCACGACCTGAGCCGAAGTCAGACGCTTAAATGCCCAAAGCCACCCAGATGGCCCCAGCACAAAAATTTTTAATTTTGATGAAGGCCAATGTATCTTTTTCAGTTGTTTGTGCCTTGGGTGTGTCTCAATTGACCTAACCAAGATCACAAAGATTTATGCTTATAAGCTTTACAGTTTTAGCTCTTTAATTTAGATTTTTGATCCATTTTGAGTTAATTTTTGAGTATGGTGTGAGGAACGAGTCCAACTTCATTCTTTTATGTGTAGATACCCAGTTATCCAGCATCATTTGTTGAAGACTTTTCCACTATTTGGCACCCTAAATATTTTACTTATCTGCCTCTACTAGAAT